AAATGATCGCTTAAGAACACCAAGTCGAGTATATTAGAACAGCACCCTTGGATACGGGTAGGCTGTTTTACGATTTGTCAACATGATGTCAATGAGCGCATTCCTGCATCCGCTGTTGTGTTGCATTGTTCGCCAGTTTATATCGGGTAAGTTAAAGTCGCCGAGCAAAATTAGCCTGCCTCCGAGAACATACCGATGCATATACGTGTGCAATGCCTACAAGCTATCCTTGTCTGAAGATGGGCTGCGATAAACGCAGCCAACAAATACTGGGCGAGAAGTGAAGAGAAGCTCGCAAAATATTGCCTCGACTCCGATGACCTCAGGAAGTATTTCAAAGGAAAGCTCTTTTTTAAGTAGGATGGCCACACCTCCCCCGCATGTCTGCCTATCTTTACGAATGATGACGTAGTTGGGGGGTGTTACCTCAAAATCCTTTATCTCATTTGTCAGCCATGTTTCTGTCACAGCTACGAAGTCAGGTTCAATTCCAAGAAGTAAGGTTTCAAGCGGTACTAATTTTTGAAGCATGCTGCGGGTGTTTATGGTAAGAAATGTTATTTCTTTCGTTGGCTGCGGCGTTGTGGCTCGCCCGATGCTTCCGTTTCGTCGTTCTTTTCATGGTTAATGGCGTGACGGCCAGCGCTTACGAGCACAATATCATTTGTACCGTCATCTCATCGGTACAGATCTTCATTCACTTTTAACTTGTCATAGACCAGAAATACTTTGTCTCCGGCTTCTTTTTTGATTTTTGCAATATGCCAAAGCATTTTTCTGATGTATCTTACTCTATTTGAGAAGTCCTCTCCAACAGAGAAAGTGGTGCTCTTTATGATTACAAATAAGCAGCGCACGACGTTTTACAAAAGAAAGACGATAGGGACACCGCTGTCGATAGGGACACCGCTGTCAGCAGCACCATTTTTAGTGTTAGCTGGTCAATCTGCACAACCCATCCGGTCGACTTGCACATGAGATACTTCGCCTAGAGAAACACCACTTTACGGCTGCTTATAAAAGTGGTCGCCAGCACGATGATGCAAATTGCCTTTCGTGGCTGCCGCATCCTGCGACAGACTGAGACGCGGACAACTTTGACGGGTACATCGCATCAGTGGAGACAGAATTTCTTGACAAGACTGTATTTAGCAATGAGCAGCAAAAGGACAGTGCTCTAGAGCAACTTTTTGCTAGCGAACGAAACTCATCAGCCACTCGTTTTTGCACCCGTGACAGGCTACTATACAAGAACTATTTTAATATAGGTCCGCAATGTTGCCACGTTCCATTTCTCAAGTTTTGTTATCAAGTGCTCCACTAGCAGACCAACTTTGAGCTGCCCTGGAGGCCCGCCAGGCGGCGGAGAGTTTCGGGCTCTCTGTCCCGACGTGGGAGACGCCCTCTACACCTGGCGTCTAGTTGAGTGTCATTCAGAACCGCTTTTTTGGGTAATTAAGTTTAACCACCCCCACCACGTACACATACTGTCATGAATCGTTAGAAAGGGCTGAGCGAAGGGCGCAGAAGAACAGCAAAGTAGTTCAGGCTAAAGGAAGAAACATGTGTTCAACATAGATATTTGTTGATACTGACCAAGCGCGGGGCCATTTCAAGCAAACAAAAAAATTGAATAAACGAATGAAAGGAGCGAACAATATGGGGCAACAAGTGCGAATAAAAAAACGAAAGTAAAAAACGTCAATAGGTAAAGATGGGCCAATTACTGCGCAAACAGGGGGATATACATTCGCTTGTGAATGAAAGGGAAAAGTGTTCACGGATGCTGTATGTCAACCGTCACAGTGCGTGTTTCTTGTTCACCATGTAAGTGCGTCAAAAGTCGTTGCGTGCGTGCTCATCCGTGCACCTCAGGTGTAAGTTTGGTGAGACTATTGAAGTCACCCGGTCTCTTTGGAGGTTCCACAGGTGGCAGTGGAAATCATCATAGACCTCCCGCGAATTGATGGAAGGGGCTTTCCGGAATACGAGATTGTTACGAGTCCGGACGCACTTATTGAGAGCGCTCAGTGATAGAGGACTATATGGGGTGAGGCTACGAAAACGATAACAAAGTCATCGCCCTCTTCTTCTCAGAGAGCTTCTCTTTCTCGCTTCAGTGGCACCATTACACATGTCCTCGCACAGACGAAGCCCGCCGGGCGTGTCAGGCGTCTTCTCGTTGGGTGCATGGCTTTAAAACCATACCACGGTATGACCGCATGCCTGCTCCCGCTTCTTTTTTTTTTTTCGTGCGTGTTTGGTTTTGAACCACTCCAGAGGCGGTGACAACTTTTTGGCCTCAGGGGTTGCTGATTGGCTGAAAAGAAAAAAAAAACGTTGCTCATGACATCATCACGCTCACTGGTCGTGAAAAGTGGCGTTCGACCGAAGCGATGCAACGAGTGGCGAAGCCTAGTCGGCAGCCGCGTAAAGGTGCTATAGTTGATCAGCATACCAGGAGATAATCATCGAAAGGCACCACGTCGGCGCAGCCTTCCTGCACTCATCAGTGGCTGCGATCAGCGACCGAAACCGAAGGAGAGTTGTGTGTAGGCGAGGATCAGAGACCACATTTCGTGTGTTTCGTGCCATCGTTCGCATTGCTTTTGGAACTGGAATGTCATCCCCTGCAAATGTAATCCGGGGATCACACGAAGAATAATCGACGGTATCCCGTTGCAGTACGTCTTTACCATACTGTGCCTCTCGCGCGTAATGTCTCCGATGATATGTTGGGTCAATGGGTTCACATCTGCAGGTGCAATCTGCGTACAAACACCTCAAAAGTTTTCGATGGCCGCGAACAGCTTATGCGATTGTATGTGCTCTGTCTTCGTGGTTCGTTCCAGTGCTTTGCGTGAACGTCTAGTGTTGTGTGCAGCACGGAACGATTACACAATCTGCAGCGACAAGCTTTATTGCCTCTTTATCGCCGTCATCCCGCATGTTCTGCGGCGTGACGCTGCCTTGTTACTGGCGATGCGCCGGGGTTAACGCGTGGCGTCCGAAGTGCTTATCGTGTCCCCAGTTGTTTCCTGATGTTATGCAGCGGTACTACATGCAAAAGCGTTATTTGCTGAGCAAGTGTGTTTTGAAGTGTGTCATACATTGTTGCTGACACTGGAGTTTTTCTGTGTATCAGGCACCTCTGAACTGAAACTCCATCAAACATGAATTTGCTTTTTAGCTAGCATATAGACTGTCCCCAGTTCTGTCTGTACTTTGCAAGTTGTGCTTTCATACAGCGCTGTATTAGACATGCCCGAAAATGTTGGAGCCATGAATGACAAACTCAGGTAGCCCCCATGTATATCATGTGGAAATAATACAGACCAGCACCTCCTATATTTTTTCAGTGCCTGGGCGAAAGAGCGGAGTGCAATGAGAAGCGGACGTCGGCATTAGCGCGGCTTTTAGCCGCCAGGCACAACCACCGCATTACACTCGCCATTGCGTCATCTCTCTCACAAACGGATGTTGTGGCTGCATTTGAAGCTGCTCTTCGGTTCAGTTTTCGGCTGAATTCACACTATTTGAAGTTTAACTAAACTTGTGAACAAGAATAGTGAAGCACTTCTCGCTCTTGGCACCCAGCCCGTTCCAAAGCATGTGTAGTTCGCGGTTACTTGATCGAAGCTCTCGCACGCCGTCTGCCAGGCCGATACCAGAGAGCACATGCAAGCGATCCGCGGAAGATCGTTTCGTCACTTAGTTGGTCTGACTCTCTTCTCAAAGTTTTTTGAGTAATACACGTGTGGCCACCTACAGAAAGCAAATGCCCGAAAAAATGAGGAACTATGTCAGGTGATTCCACCATTTGACATGCTCGAGCCTGAAGCAATAGATGAAATCGTGGTGTACGAACAACAAACAAAAACAGCTGCACATACGGCGCGATTTCCGCAGCCTTGGCCAATGTTTTATCAGGCTCTGTTCAAGTTTAAAATCTAATGTGGACTCTCAACTTGAGCAAGCTTGACAGGAGTGAAAAATGCAGACCGTTGTCAGTTGTTTGAGCTCGTCATCATTGTTGACGGGTCTATATCAGGAGTATATAAAATTTCGAGACAAGCGCACGAGCGAGTGAGCTTTTAGACTAGAGAACATCTACACGCATTTTGACCATGCCTTGTGGAGGCGCCCCCGAACAGCGACGAGCGGTGTGGCGCAGCGCAGCGGCCTAGAGAGCGTGAGCGCTCAACGCACGGCCGTCGTGCTTTCTCGCTACTGATCATGAAAACGCGCTGAAGTGACTGACCTCTGAGGAATACAAGCAGTAGATGGTGTATATAAATGGCTCGCTGCCATTAAAGTAAGAGAAGCTTTACTCTGTGGCTTAGCGTTGGGGAGCGCGAGGTCACTGGTTCGACACCCCTCTGCAGAACTTTTCCTTGTAGTTTTTTTTTCATTGCACTTTTATAACACATATTTTAGCCACATCCGTGGCGGAAATACGTCAGTGGAGCCGTGGTAGAGTCCGGCATAAAATATTTTCGTGTTAAACAGGCAGCCGTCATCACATATCTGATATCTCTCCCATCGGTTAAATTTGGCTGCCATCACAACAAAAATGTCACCTTCAGCGCCGGCGAACCCCGTGAAGTGTGAGAGAACGCATTGAGGAAACGGTGCAGAAGGAGTTGGTCAATGCAAGTGATGAAATGTGCTTTATCAATTATTTTACTTATTTCACCAAATGTGCCAGCGGAGTGCTTGAGTTCATTGCTATGTCCTGCCGTGGTGGATCGTACATCGAGCAGGCAGGTCTAAAAGTCATGTTCTCGACCAGGACTTTGATGTGCGACGGGTTCATACTTTTAGCTGGGAAAAACAGCGGGAAAAATATGAGGACACAGAAACGCAACACACACGAGCGCGTTGTCAGTGCTTGTGTGTGTATTGTGTTTTTAGGTCCTCATCCTTTGTGCGCTGATTTTCTCAGCAAAAACTTATGTCTGGACATATAATGTTTTCTACGTGTATTGTCTCATACGTACCCAATTCCTTTCTGCAAGCTAGACGAAATGTCATTTCCGAAAAAGTCAGTGGTCTGATGACCACATGAGGAGGGCAGCGGCACCTGCAAGAAAAAAAGTCTATATTTATTCACCTCCATTGTTTAATCACTTTCAATGTTGCCATATTTAGGCACCTCCAATGTTTCGCATGTAAAGCATGTTATTTAGCGGAATGTTGCGCCATTGTGTCTTCTTTTTTGTTTTATGCCACTCCTGTAGTGGGCCAGTGAGAGTTGACTGTAAGAAAGAAATGAATAAATAAGTAAATAAATTGCATTTCAACACAATACTGATAGCCTCAAGTAGCTCCAATAATACAGAAAGTTGGGAGTTTAGATAGAACTATTTGTGAAGAAAATAAGACTGCAGGGCGATCGGTTCCCGTTCAGTCATTCAACAAAAAGTGGAACGCGAAAGTTATATGGTGATTTAACATGAACGAACGTGTATAATCGGCATCAAAGGAGCAACTGGAGAGATGCGACAGCAATTGGTAGCAAATTTTTTTTATTATGCTAAGCTTCTAAGTAGAAACGCAGTCTTGTCTTTACTCTTATCTGTAATTTTCGCACCTGCAAGGACAATACCTGGGCACTTACTATTTAATGCAACTAAGGATGTGTACTTGACACCTGGATTGTTCATCGCTTACTCCTAAGTGGGTCTTGATCATAAAAGCGTAGCTCTTGTCGATATCCGGTATCATCAAAGTAAAACGTGTCATATGTATGGGAATGCATTGCACCACTCCAGTGAAGCACTTGACCAACTGCGTTTTGTGGTTCATTGCTATTGTCATTGAAACTTTCCAAGCTGACGGGTATAAGGAGAGGAGGGGGAGAAAAAAACTGCGACTCCTTTCCTACTAGTCGCCTTCTTAAGATTGCGGATAATACATGGGCACAAGGTACAACCCCACGACTAGGAATACTCCGGTGCTGTTAAGTGGGAATTAGTAGAGCTCTGTGAATAGGAAAATTTTGGGTGCCAAGCAGTTTCATTGAGTAAAACTCGAATTCAATATCTTTCAGACAGTTGATGAATACTTCTTTAGGACTTTTTGAATATTCCAAACAAGAAACTATAAGAAAAAGTTACAGAACATTCTTAAGAACATTCTAATGAGACAGGGTCAACGAGGTGTTTTTTTTTAGTTAGGTTTGTGAAGTGCCTTAGAGATGGTGTTCCCTAGTTGTTTTATGAAGGATCAGGAAATGCAGAGCGCTAATTTGTATTCATGATTTGGTGCAACCTACTGTCAACAACACTTTACAGGTGAAAAGAAGACACAGTTTTCTCCCCCTCTCTGTTCTACGATTTCTTGGGAGGCCCAACTGTAATTGCCGTGCACCCGCCAAATTCGGAATCCCTAAGTTTCAAATGCTGAAAATCTTTCTTATGTATTTATAGAATTTTTAGTCTGAAACAAAATAATGAAAGTCCGCAACTATGCCACGTAGATTCGAACCAGCAATTTAGTGAGTCCATCCATTTACCGCCATAGCATCAGCTTGTAGGTAGCTTTGCCGCAGCACTATATTATGACGCAGTGAAGCACAATCAAAATCTTGACAACCTATCTACTATGTGTTTGTTTTCCTCGCAATGTTTGTTGAACGACGATATTTTTTTCTTAGAAGAGAGAGAGAGAATAAAGTGTTTATTTACTTTCTGTTCGAGAAAATTAGTAAGTAGGCAATGTGCAAAATATCTGGCAGTATTTTGAAGAAACGAAGCTTTTCTAGATCCCAAAGCAATTGGTAGGTGCCAGCACGACCTAGTTCTATTAAAGCTCAAAAACACCTGCTTTTTCGATTATAGTGTCACAATGCCAGAATGTCACAATAAACTACGTATCTACGAATTTCGCAAATGAAGTAATGCAATACCTAGTGCTGGTGTTGCACCCAAATATGCATATAATTGTTTTTTTATTGAAAATGTTCACTAGAATAAACGCAGGCAATCAAGGTGATTGGCTATTCAGGAAGAGGTTAAATTTTCGCTCTGGTGCCCCTCCGCGGTGGTCTAGCGGTTAAAGTATTCAGCTCTTAAACTGCAGGTCACAGTATAGAATCCTGGCTACGGCGGCTGCATTTTTGATGAATGCGAAAATACTGAAGGGTTATGTGCTCAGATTTCGTTGCACGTTAAAAGAACCCAGTTGGTCAAAATTTCAGGAGTCTCTGCCCACGGCGTCTCTCATAATCATATTGTCACGGGGTCGTGACAGGGTGGAAGACAGGAGACTTTATGTTGGGATTCAACTGTATATTTTGGTGAACCTGTGCCCGGCAAACGGAAAGTCTGATTACAGTAGCAGTCTCGCACAGATAGCAGTGAGCAGAGCGTCGGGCGTCGATCAACTACTGACAAGTGGCGAAGAGCATCGGCATTCATACTCTTGCCATCGAATGTTCTAGCGTTATCGCTGGCGGTGGCGTAGCTTCCAGAATAATTTGTACAGTTCGTGGAGTGGGCATGATCTTATCGAAATGATCTACTACAGTACTGAAGGTTCTCGAAAACTGCAGGCGCAGTTTGCGCTGAGAATTGTGTAGTTAGTCGGGACGATAACAAAGCTTGAGGAATAGAACATGGCATTGCCCCCCTCTAAAAAAGGCATCGTCCCGATGCTTTAACTAAAGATGAAGGTACAACAATAATGCAAGAAATTACAATGAATAATCTACGATACAGCAATAATACAAAAAAACACTGCTTCAGTTTGTTAAAGCACATGAAACGGCTTGAGGCGTGCGACATGGACGACTTCAGGTCACGATCGGCGTCGTTGAAAGTTCGTGATGCCGCCGGGGACAACCTCATAATCAAGTGGGCCGAGGCGTCGAACCACCCTGTACGGTCCGAAGTACCGTCGCAGAAGCTTTTCACAGAGTCCACGTTGGCGTATCGGCATCCACACCCAAACACGTTCACCAGGCTGGTATTCCACAAAGCGTTGCGAAGACTGTAACGGCAACTGTCAGTCATCTGTTGATTCTTCATACGAAGATGCGCGAGTTGTCGGGCTTCTTTGGTGCGTTGAAGGTACGCACTCACATCGAGGTTTTCTTCGTCGGTAACGTTGAGTAATACGGCATCGAGCGTAGTTACTGGGCTCCTTCCGTAGACCAATTGGTATGGAGATATCTGCGTCGTCTCCTGCACCGCTGTGTTATATGCAAAGGTCACGTACGAAAGAATAGCGCCCACGTCTTGTGTTCGACATCGACGTACACTGCCAGAATGTCGGCGATCGTCTTGTTTAGCCGCTCGGCGAGGTTGTTGGTCTGTAGTGGTACGCTGTAGTCCGGCGGTGGTTTGTCTGGCTATATGCCAAGATCACTTGAGTTTGGTCAGCAGTAAATGCCGTTCCTCTGTCGGTGATGAGAACCTCCAGGGTGCCGTGACTTAGGATGATATTTTCGACGAAGAACTTAGCTACCTCAGTTACACTGCCTTTGGACAGGGCTTTTGTCTCGGCGTAGTGGTTGAGGTAGTCGGTAGCTACCACGATCCACTTGTTTCTGAAAGTCGACGTCGGGAACGGCCCTAGTACGTTCATACCAATCTGCTAGAATGGTCGGCGAGGTGGTTCAATTGGTTGCAGAAGTCCTGCTGGCCTTGTTGGCGGTGTCTTGCGTCGCTGACAGTTGCGGAATATCTTCACATAGCGAGTGATGTCGGTGGTAAGACGTGGCCAATAGTACCTTTCTTGTATCCTCGCGAGCGTGCCGAAAACACTGAGGTGCTCTGTAGTTGGATTGTCGTGTGGGGCCTGCAGAACTTCTGGCCGCACGTGGGTTCACGGCTTGATGGGGGCGTCCGGTACATGAACGAAGCAGCACCTCCACCAGATGTCACGGAGTCGTCACGTGGCCGAAGACAGGAGACTTAATGTTGGGTTTCAACTATTTATTTGGGCGAACTTGTGCCTGGTAAAAGGAAAGTCTGACTAAAGCAGATGTCTCGCACAGATAGCAGTGAACGGAGCGTCGGTCGTTGATCAAGTACTGACAAGCAACGAAGTGCGTCGGCATTTATACTCTTGCCATCGAATGTTCTAGCGTTATTGCTGGCGGTGGCATAGGTTCCAGAGTAATCTGTACAGTTCGCGGAGTGGGCGTGATCTTATCGAAACGATCTACTACAGTCCTGAAGCTTGTCGAAAACGACAGGCACGGTTTGCGCTGAGAATTGTGTAGTGTATTGGGGCGATAACAAAACTTGAAGAATGAAACGTGGCAATATGGTGGTTTTATGACGTTAACCACCAAATATCAATCAAAATCAAACTTTCGCTCTGGTGGCTCAAATAACACTGACAGACCAAAAATTTTGCGTTGACGAATCTCGAGATAGACGTTTATATTTAACATTACAAAGAAGCCACTGTGACGGTGCAGGGCATCTCCATGTAGGAACTGGCTTTTTCTCGTGTCAATGCATTTCCTACCATAACCGAGTTTGAAAGGCAGCTTCGATACAAAGTAATTTTGTTGAAAGGCGAAGCATAACAAAAGCCAAATGACCCCAGTCAATCAAACGTTGACGTCGTTTGTCTTCAGGAAGTTCGAATATTTGGAATAGTCAAAACTTAGTGCGAATCGAATAAGAAAGACTATTCGAAAAATATACGAAAGCTCAAATATTCTCCCGCCCTGAGAAATTACATGACAATGTTTCAAGCAAGACCAAAACTAGTGCTACAATACACCAACGGGCATTCATACATATACGTTGAATAAACAATCAACTATACTCCTGCGTTAACACGGCTTACTTTCATATTTTATGAATTCTTACAACAGAGGATTGGATCGTGTTTTCTTTTTCATCTGCCCGATCACAGAATGGAGGCAAGGTTCTAGGTGTCTCAATACAGCAGCAGCAAGCGTAAACGCCACCACTCTATTGAATCATACCATGTATCATATTGAAGGAAAAGAGTGTAAGCGTTCGTTTTCTTTGCTAGACACTATGTTGATGAGGACTAATGGACAATGAGTAGAGAAGTGTTTTAGTCCTCGTTAACACATATATTGCCTCACATGCTCCT